CACATACTTTGTTGTTAGGAAGTTGATTAATGACTTTAAGATCTTTTATAAAAGAGAATTCCTTAATTGCTGGTTGATACCATATAGAATCGATGTTGAGTTTGGGTTAGTATTCTTGTTGTCACATTGTGTTAAATAGTTGTAATTAGATGTTTCGAGGAGCTGTTCAATTATCAAAATGTTGTTGAATATACTGTTTGATAAGTAATAGTTCAGTGATAACTTTATTAGATTCTTTAATATTGTCAAACTTAATAGGGTCTTTGTATTAATTAAGTATACTATTAATTATTAATGTTGGTCTATTTTGGAGTTTAGTGATTTTTTAGCTATGTTATCATTAATTTGTTTTCTTATATTTTTAACATTTTCTAAGTTTCTAGCATAGTAAAGTGTTTTTTATTCAGTATTAGTTGCAGATATCCAGTCAGATAAAAGATTATAATCCTGAGCCAGTTCAGGTATATTGAGATGATGAAGAGAATTGAGTTAATGAATATTGAGGTTATGAAATACAGATATAGAATTGTGATTTCAAATTGAAGCTTTGACTTTTCTAATGATATTGTCTAGTTTTTTAAGTCCTAAGTATAATTTTGATGCCTTGGAAGAAAAGATAACTTGAAAGTTATGAACAGTAAATTTTTTATTTAGAATGTGTTGTAGAGTAGTTAAGATAATACTAGTTTGAATTTTATGCCAAGAGGCATTAAGTGATTCTATAGTATTAGTTGTAGAAGAAACATTGTTGTTTTTAAGATTGAATATAACTTGGTCAGAGAAGTTTTGTCAAAGATCTTGGTTCATTTGTTTATATACAAAAATTCTACACTTAGTTTTGATTGCTGATCATCATTTATCAGTAATTATATAAGAAAATTTCCAGGATAATATGAGTATATTATGATCACTGAATGTACTTTGGTTTGCATCATCTGTGTGATAAGAAGTTAAATATTAGATAATAGACTGATTGGCCCAAATATAGTCAATTCGACTGCTATATCTGCTACTATACTAGGTAGAAGACAAAGATTATGTGTATTTTGCTAAGTCATATATATTATTATGTTGAAGAAAATGAATTAGTTTAAGTTTGATAGATGATAATTGTAGGTTGTCAGAGACATTAAAGTTATCCATAACAATTGGTTATATATTGTTTATATTTACTTCTTGGATCCATTGTATAATATTATTCTGGATAAGAAGTCTAAGTTGGAGATTATCACAAGATAAATAAACTGATATAATACAAAATTTAAAGTCATATTTAAAAAACAGGTCAATTGCAATAACATATTTAGGAAAGTTGAGTGTTTTGTGAACATGTAGTTTAAGATGCTTTTGGATCATGATAGCTGTTCCAGCTTTACAACTATCAGTACATGACCAATAATAAGTAAAGTGTTGAGATCTTGAAATTTATCATGTGCATTGTTTTGTGAGATTTTGGTTTCTATAATGCTAGTAATATAAATATTATGAGATAGACAGTAGTCCTTCCATGTTTGTTGTTTTAAGTTATCATTATATCCTTATGTATTATATATGCATATTGACAGATAAAGTAGTTTATATAGGATGGGTGTAGGTGTTTTGGCTGTTAGTATTTAGAGAGCAGGTTGAATATAATTATTGAAGTAGAGGCTAGAAGATGTGATTATATAATTAGAATTGAAGATATTAGACAAATGTGATATATTAGACATATTTGATATATTAGATAAATCTTTAATACAAATAGTCAAAATATTAATTATAAATAAAAGACAATTCATATAGACAAAAACTAGTGATTATAATTGCAAACTATAAACTACCTATCTGACCCATAATATAAGTAAAATTGTGATCTTATAAGAACTAATGATTTTTATAAATTCCATTATTAACAATAACTATTTATCCCAATAATAAACTAAACCTGTAATTGATTGCTTACTATAATCATTGTTCAGTAAATTATAACAAAAAAAAAGTTTTAACTCTAATTCAATGTAGTAAAATCTTAATTAAAACAATAAAGTAGATAAAAATTAAAATAAGAGTAGGTTGAAGAAAAGACTTAAAAAAAGAGACTGGTACCTTACAGACAACCACCTACTCACCAAATTTAACATACCTGTTTTGACTTAATCACCATAGGTTACATAAGAGTTAGCTTAGTTTAGTAACAAACTTATTAATTCTAAGATAACATTATATAAATTTAATTTTTTATATATATAGTAAACTAATCTAAATAGGTAATTTTATTTTTATTAAAATTTTTTTTACAAAATAATTATAGTTGAAATTTTGCAAGTTTATACACTAAGGTTACCAAAGTACTTGCATAGTAGCACCAAAAAATACTTAATTACAATTGATTAATTTATAAATATATCAAAAAAGTTTAATTTTTAAATTTTTTTTAAAAAAGTTATCTAATTTTAAACTTTTTTAAAACAATATGTAATCAAAAATTAATTTGATTTTTTTTATAAATATGTTTTATATATCTTCAAATTTTAAATATATTTATTTAATTGCAAGTTAATATGTAAAATTTTTATGTAATTGCATTTTAATTCAAATGTATCAAGTTGGTGTATCATACTTAATGAGGCAACCAATAATTACCAGACGTGAATATATATTAGTCAACCTCATTCTCGTTCTTTCCAACTCCAATTTCACTTTCATAGCGAGGTCCAGCATTAATGCCTTCTAACAAGGATATTTGACCAAGCAAATTGATTAAAGAAATTCAGGATTCAAGAAAACGGGTTATATCGTTTAAGATACAAAATTCGATTAAGTGGATTTTTGAATCCGAATCCTTTACCCACAACGTATATTTTAGATTTGGAATTCTATAACGTAAATCAATTACAGGTATTGAGCATTATAATTCATAAAAAACTGAAAGTCGACTAAGCTGACTACAGTAGATAGTTATTGGAATTAGATACTAATAATTGTAGGTTTTTGTTATCTTATTATTTCAGGGTCATCTAACAATCAGTATAACCGTTTTAGAAACTACCTAGTAAAATGAATTTTTTTATTTTTGCTTTAATTTTAAAAATCATTAAGCAAAATTCGAAAAAATGAATAATGCATAATAATTCATCAACGCTCTTCAATAGGTCGCATTTTATATTTAAAAAGTCTACACGACCTAATTAAACCATTATGTTTTTTGAAATTCAAAATTTTCGGCTAATTTATTCTTTTTGAAAAGCCTATGCTCACATTTTGACCTTTTCTAATTGAGGTTATTTGCATTTTCACTTTTTACTTTAGAATTAATGTTCATTCATTTAGAAAATTAAATTATTTTGCCAATAACTATATATTTATTTAAATATTTGAGGCTTTAGATTTTTCAAAGGCTGAGTCAGTTAAATAATAACATCAAAAGCTCAATGATTTTTCTAGTGGTAGGATGGTGACGCCGGAATCTCGTTGAAGCAGGTGATCGATATGGTGCAGTAACGAATTAACGGCTATGTCGATTACCTACCTAATATGAGTGGTAGGGTGGTGGTGCCGGAAGCTCGTTATGCATCGGGTGAATAATGGATATCAGTGGGATCAAGGGTATAATCAAATTAATCAGTATAAACATTATCAGTATAATTAGTATAAACGTTATAAGTAGTATAAGCGGTGTATCACGAATAAAGTGTATAACGTGTCCTATGTAAATGAAAGTATATAATAAAGGCTTCGAGACCTCCAAGAACAGTTCAGTTAGTGCTTATCATAAATTTCGCCCCATAATAATTCTCTGTCTCATTATATAATAAAAACCATACCTTCAATCATAACTATACACTCGCCAAATATAACACGCCTCTTCGATTTGTAGGGTACACGACGTATCCAATTGAGAAGCGACTGACTCGCCGTTTCGACCGTGTCAATATATTACTATTTATGGCTGAGTCCGAAAATAATAAATTCAATAATTCAATGTTTGGTGGCACTCGTATACAAAAAATAAAATTGTTTTTTGTGTCTCATTTAAAATCAAGTTATCTTTGAAATCCAGGCACGTTAGCATAATTCTGGATGATTTGAACCTGTTTTCAGGATTTTTTAATAGTGACCTACTTTTATATTGGTTAATATTACTATAACATAACTATATTGTTGGATTTAATGACAGAATGTTTAATAACCATAGCAATAATACAAATAATGTTTAATATTCACGATATACACACCACGAAATTTAAATTCTCACTTCAATTCAGCATTTATAATCTTATTTAAAAGTGTTAGTGAATTATTCACGATATTTCGATGGGGAAGGAGATTACAACGATTATGGTTAAAAAAATAGTATAATTTATTAGAGTTTTTTAATCGTACTGCATAATTATAATAAGTTGCTAAAACAACGGGAGTAAAAACAAATCAAAATTGCTAAAAATGGAGACAAGTTAAATTCTAAAGTTTATTAAGGAATATATACTATGATCAAAGTATAAATGAAATAAGCTAACAAAAAGCGAAAAGCATATAACATATGTATGATTGCTGTACACACATAACGAATAGGTTATACTATCAAAGTAGCTAAGGTTAAAACTACTTACGTGTTAGGATTACCTTATATGTAATTTAAATTAATACAATTACTGTATAGCTATGATTTGGATACTTAAATGGAAATTCTTGAGTGACAAAAGGCTTCATGTTTTAATATTATAACTTAAAAAATTCGTTCATTCACTGATAATCTAAGTTGAAGTAATATGTCAACGAAAATTAATATAAAAAAAAAATCGAAAAGATGGTAAGAAGCATATCTCTATACGTATATGATATTCATTTTAATGTGCGTATGTCATTTATCGGATTTTAATTAGAGCCAAGGTCGTAAACAAAAAGCCTGAAATCTTGGCTTAAACCATTTATTCCGAAAGCTATCTATTAAATTACTGAGCAGTAAATATTAAATAATTTTCATTTTCAAACTTTGTGAAAATAAAAAAAGTTGAGTAATGAGTGAACAAATTATAGAGATTCCGCTACACAATGGAGAGAAAATCACAAAGATTGTGTGTTCTCCAAAATTGAAGTATGTTGCAACTTGGAGTGATAAAGACATGTCAGCTTGTATATACTCTATTAAAGATCAAATGAATTTGGAATTTGAAGATTACTACCCACTAAAAGAAAAAGTCGAACATGGTCTTTCAGAAGAGATCAAAAATGTTTTTTTAACAGCTGAAAAATATGATCTAAAACTATCAGATCAAAAACACATTGTGTTGATGCCTTATAATGAAGGCCGCAAATATGCAGGTAGATATCAGTATAATCCGGTACTGCTAAGGAAAAGCAACTTTAGTCTTCAAATTTATAACATATTGGTTGCACTCTATAGATTTTTAGAGATTGAATCCTTAAGTTATAAATTTAAGAGTCCGAAGTTTTATTTCTATTGTTATTTTATAGGTCACGCTTACTATATCCTAAAATACAGTATTAAAATTGCATAATCATATATTCTAAGTTTTAATACTTTAATATACTGTATTTATGTACCAGCACTTTTTACATTAGAACATCGCGACCACGAAGTAAAAATTTTAAAACCCTGTGATAATAAAAAAGAAATAATTGAAGGTAACTTTATAGTTAAAGAAAATAACAAAGATAATTATTTTTTACTTGTTAGGGGTAAGAACGACGACGATACTAAAAATCTTACAGGCTGTGTATTCGAGTTATGTGGAAAACGTAAAAAAATTTTTAGAATTTCAAATTACAATTCTAAAGACTTCATTGTGCTTCATAATAATGGATCTATTTTTATATACAAACGTGATACACATATTATCATGGCACGGAATATCGTAACTTTGGATTTTATTAGTTATTTAACTACGGAATGGGAGATTGATTGTACACGTAATTTAATCATAAATAAAAAAGCGACTCTTTTGGCTATTTGGTTTAATAATTGTGTACACATATATTCGACTAAGCTTCAGCTCATGATAGCATTCTGTAAGTTATATTCATTTCTATTCTATGACCAGAAATAAGTGTTTTCTAATTTATGTTAATGACGTTTATTAGATAATGTTGGCGAAAATATAACAGTGTTATTTTCTTTTATTCGAAGATAGAGAATTTTTGTTTGCTGTATGCGAGAAAAATTTCTGTTTATTAGATCCTTATATTTTCACTGGAGAATTTATATCTGAATATCCTTATATTTTCATCGATAAAGAAACAGAGGAAATATCTAAACATCCTGTTTTCATTGATAAAAAAACATTACATCATTCATATGTAATTAATAGTGGCATGATTTTTTATTACGAAAATAAATTGAAGATCCAAGATTTTCCCAAAGCTTGGAGGGATAAGCTTAATAACATGTGCTCCAACTTGGTTGCAAAAGAAGTATTAGAAGAAATCGAGAAAGATGATGAATCCACTAAAGATCAACTTTACGATAAATGGATGATTAGTAAATGTGATGAAAAGAATATTTCCTTATCTTATAATAATATCGATAAGATTAAAATTGCAATACCATATACTGGAATTAAAAGAATTAAACTCTTAAAAAATAGGGATTTATTAATGAATATGGTGAGAAATGAGCATGAGGATTGTCTAAGTGAAAAAATATATATTTGGACTATCAAAATGCAAAAAATCCGATTAAATTATTTCTGGAGCAATATAACATTATTTAAAAATGAATATGAAAAATATTTTCCATATTTACCCTCTCCAGAATTCGAAATCAATGCAGGAATTTGTGAAACTGACCTTAATAAGCATATGATTGAAGATTACGTTGATTCACGGTCTAAATTAAGTCTTTATGGAAGATACTTAATGGAATATTTATTGGAAAAAGAAAATTTCGAAACTATTGAAAAGCTATTGAAGAATATAATTAATTTCACTATGAAAAATAATGATGGAAATTTTATTTCAAATCTTTCATTAATGAAAATGGTTACATATAATTTTCACACATTAAGTCAATATCCTGATATTATTAATTGGTTTTTATCTAGAATAGCTTTTTTTGTACCTGATAATACATTATCTGAAATAATTAATATAGACTCTACTTCAAGTCATCTTCAACAATTTGGCGAATATCCTAATATTTCTGATATTTATTTAATTCGTCTTAAAATAGAAAGCTTTTTAAATCCTGTGTTCACACTTCTTTTACTTCCCTTTAAATTAGTAAAAATGAGTTTGGAATGCAAACAAAAAAAAACAACTGTCAAATTGGTCTTTCCTTTAATGGGACTTACCAATTATCCTAGCAAATCTGACATTTTTATGTCTGATGATATGATATTGGTAGAAGTGTTACTTAGAAGACTTATCTATGATCTATTTCAACTCGGAAATCCTTTTGTTTCTTCACCAAACACAAATCTATATGAATTATGGATTGGTGAAGCACTTCTTAATTACAAATGGAATACATATGGAAAGATTATCTATATTGTACACTTGTTCATTCATATTATTTGTTTTCTTTGCTTTGTACTTATAATGTTATTTTATGATCAAATTCCATCATTTATTCGAATACTTTTCCTATGGATTATTATTATAATCGCATTAGTATATTATTTTTTAGACAATATTTATATGTTTAAACCAGGGTGTAAACCAAATTTACTACACTTCTCTGGTATGTTTATGAATTTCTCTATTTTTTTGTACAATCTTTGGTAACATTATTTTACTCTTTTTTAGTTAATACTCTTGCAATGGGAAGTTTAGTCTCTTCAGCAATTAAAGTCGCCAGTCCAAATCCACACTCAGGCTGGCTCTATGAAATTAATAATACTTATGTTGGTTATGATGCAACAATTATTCTCACAATTTTTTTATTTGAATTAAAATTTTTGTTTGATCTCCATGTTTTTAAATTTTTTGGAATTTATTTTGCAATTATATTTGGTGTATTCAATGAAGTATTTTCTTTTCTGGCAATCCTTGGGCTCTTTACATTTATATTTATATTTTCTCTACATATTTTATTAAAATTAAACCCAAACTCGAGTCATCAATATGTTTCTTGGAATTTAACAGATTATATTATTTTTTCATATACCATGTTAACTGGTAATTTGCTTTTTTTAAAAATGCTTGCTTAATATAATTAATCTATATCATTTGTTTTAACTTCATTTCTATAAAAATAGGTGACTCGGATATATTTTCATCATATACAACATATCAGAATAGTTTTGAAGAATTTTCTCTTACAATTTTATTAATTGTAATTTCATTTTTCATTACTATTTATATGATGAATTTATTTATTGGTATACTTAGCAATAAAATTAGTGATTTAAATAAAAAAAGTTCTTTTTTATGTGATAAAGCTAAAGTATGTGTTTTTAAATTTGCAATTTGATAAATTAATATTTAATATTTATTTATAATATCTTTAAAGACATTGTCTAGAATTGAACGAAGTTATTTGCTATCATATCAGAGAGAAAAAAAGGATTGGTTTCCAGAAATTATGTAAATTAAATTTTATAAATATAAATTATTTAAATATTATTAAATTATTAACAATTTTTCTTTAAATATAAGTTTTTTTGAAGCTCAGCTTGATGAATTTCGTAAAGTAGTTAGACAAATTCGAAATAACACTTGGCCAGGTTTTTATAAACCATATATCTCTCCTGTTCTTTTGGAAGCAATTAAAATGAAATCAGAACCAGATCAAGATGATTAAGATGGTTTTTAATGCATAGAACTTGTAAAATTATGAAACATGAGTTCTTCAAATATGCTTTCAATGATTATCTAATAGAAAAAAATAGTTAAAAAAAATTAATGAAATATATCAAAAATTGAAAGTAGTTTGTCAGTCTACTTTCTTTGTTATGATTGTGATTATGCTAATAGTTAATCATGCCTTTGCTCTAGTTTAAAAAAGAAAAATAGCTAAAAAGAACATAGTAATAGTAAATATTAAGAAAAATATCATGTAAAAGTTTATATTGTTATGCAAATATTTTATTTTATTTATAATAGAATTCTTTAATCTAAAAAATATTTGCTTTACAATTATAAACTATTTAAAATTTGTATAAAAAGTTTAAACCTTTTGACAGAACATATAAGTGATTTAATCATTAAAGATGATATACAAAAGAGATTAGTTGATTCATTTGGGAGGAAGACCAAATAAATGCTAAAAATTTAGATATAGATGATCTAAAGATACAAAAATATTTAAACGAGATTACTGAGCTACGTAGCCCACAATGTAATATTGAAATATGTGGTCATCCGGTGCAAATGCCTTTTACCTTGTATGATTATATTTATTTAAATTCATGTTATAAACATGTATTTTTATTAATTTATCATAGCATTTATTTTATTCAAGTTATAAAGATGTTATATTATCTTTTAAATTACGTATTTTATTAATTTAGCATGGTATTTATTTTAAACGGCAAATATGTTTTACTATATTTTAAACCATATATCTGAATTATTTATTAATCTATTATATACACTTATTTTAAGCCACATTAATAATTAATCTTTATAAAAATATATAAGTGATGTCAAATGAAAATTTGGAAATACTACTAATAAGAATTTCTAGTTTTCACTTGGCATTACTTATATGTAATTAATTAACTATAAATTTTATATCAGATATAGCGGTTTATCCAATTTGAATATAAGAAATTTTGTCTACGCGTACACATGATTGCGTGTATGTATAAGATATTTCAATGAAAATAAATGATATCTTGCAACTAATCCACCACTGAGTTGCTTGAATGACTTGTAGAATTACATCCGGCAAGGATTTAATTGGTATCTTTAACTTTCATATTAAACCGTTGCTTTCTTATTTACTTATTATATAATTAAGATATAGCAGTAATAACCCCATTTTTTAATCACACAAATTTAAATTTATTGTTATGATGGCAGAATTGGCATTATATGCTACTAAAATATATATGAATTCACTCTATGATTAGATGATTTAATAAAAATTACTTAAAATGATGAGTTTTGGCAAGGGAAAGTCCTTTAACTTTATAATTTACCATATTCGAACTAATATAAAAATTAATTAGGTCAAGTTCAGTAAGTTATAAATTTAAAAGTTCTAAGTAATGTATTTCAGAAAACAATCGAATACTTGTGTTGACAATTACATGACAGTAAAAATTTTTCTGCCGATCCTGAGTAGTGTTCGGTTCGGAAGTTTGCGACTCTGTCGCTCCAAAATTCTAAACCTCGCGTAACGTACAATAAGTAACCTTTTCGAAAGAGGGTGTTAGATTTGGCTTGTG